GTTGAATGATATTCCAACAATTACATGAAAATGATAAAATATTGTCTACCCAATCCAATGTATACTTTTCAGAACACAAGTATACATACAGTTATTTAAGTATATACAAAAAATGAAACAGCAACAGTGAGGAAATAATAGTAAATAACTGCATTTTGAATCCAGTAAAATTTCCTCTATATATGCAAAAATTTAAAGATTTAATTTTCAGCATCATCAGAAGAGGTACAAAGATTGAATTCAGATATCAGAAATTATTATTTTTCATCATGACTGAGTTTCATTTCATACACCAATAAAGTACCATGAGCTAAAGCTTTCCAGCTATTATGTGGTTCCACATAGGTGTTAGGTGGTTAAGGGAGTTACTTACCATGCAAGCATTAAAGTAAGTAATAGTCACAAAATGTATAAATGCATATTGAATATCATCCCCCCACCACCTCATCCATATTTTACTGATGTCAAATGCTGCTTTATCAAAGGAGAAGGAGTTGGGAACCAGAGAAGTCAAATTCAGATAGACAAGTTCATGATAAGGCCACAAAATCTTCATTACTGGCCATGGTGAGCCTGAAATATTTGAAATATTTGGGGAACAAAGACAGTCTACCTCTCATAAACCCAACAAGGGGTAAAGGCTAGGCAATTAACCAAAGGAATAGCAAGCCCATGGGTCTAGAGACCATTCAGGACTGATACAAAGCCAGCCTTCCATCCTTTCAGCATGGCTCTTACACCTTAGAAGGTGGATAGAAAAGGAATTGAAGAGATGGAAAAGGAAAGAGGGAGACTGCAAAATTAGTTGAGGTGAGGGCCGAGGTCCACGGTAGGGATGATCCCTACTACCTTTGGCTTCAGTCCCCATCTCCTATGCCCCACTCCTGATAACAACGGGCATGGATTAGGGGGACATACATCTGCAGGTTTTAATTGTTGGCAGGCTTATGTCTAGCCTCTTGTGCAATAAAGAATTAGAATATTTTGCAACAAGTTGAGAAAAAAAGTCTGTGAAAGAAGTCCAAAATCATATATTCATAAATAAAAGAGAGTTATAACCAGTTCTTGAAAATACAAACCCTTTATTCAAGAAGCACTGTTCACATCCCATGACTGAGTGGGTATTTGTTACCAAGAGTGATACACCCTCCAGGGATGAAGTCCCACAACCAGGGTATCATGAAAATCCAGAATTTCAAATCTAACCTTTCCAACCTTCTATTTTTTCGCTTGACAGGAGGGGACCCCCCTGTATTCCCCTTTATTAGCACCTTGTGCCAATTTATAGAAAACAGACATTACGAACTATCTGTGTATGGGTGATATGCAGCAGATATTTTTGTCATTTTGCAGGAAATATGAGGTCACAGCAGCTGTACCAGTGTTGTTTATGACTATTTCTTATGCTCTATAGGATGGCAGCGTCCATTCCCCTTTATCTCTGTGCATCGCTCTCAGTAATTCTATCGATTCTTAAATTTGAAACATTCAACAATGATAACTATTACTATAACCATAATGATCTAAAGCTTGCAAATACTTTGCTTTTATTTTTACATGTTTATATTTTGCATTTGTTTCCTTTCCTTTCTAATTCTTAAGCAATATAAAACAATTTATCATTACTAACCCACATGGTATATGCCCCATTCACAGTAGATGTGTCCCTTTTGTTTTTGCAGTGACAGATGGTTCACCAGTGCTCAGTCACCTGAGTCAACCACCTACTTGACCTCACCTGCTTACCCTACTCCTTGAATATTTGGATTTTTAAAATATTTCTAATATCAGTATTATCTTTATTTACATTACCAATATTACCACCATTACTATCATTATAATATTATTAGCAAAACATCAGAAAATTCAAGGAATTAGATATACATGAGATCAAATAAGTCTTGTAACTGACTCTCTGGTGACCATGCACTTGTGGAGCCATCTATGTGTAAACAAATTTATCAAATTAAAATCCTTCCACTACCAATGGGTTAATATGAACCAGTACTGAGACTGTGAGGTGAAATGCCCATATTAAATGAAAGCAAAGTCCCATGGAAATTGCTAAGTGTCACTCTTAGTTTCCCAATAGTCTTAACCATTAGTATAAGTTACAGGATCATCACTATTAAGTAATTATGATTTGGAATCTTCTCCATTATGGTGATCCTTTTCGCAGAGTCAGATAATTAACTCAGCTGTGTAGAATAGCTGGTCATGACATAGGAGACTGAAACAAGATATAATCATTGTTTTATGGTCTCATACATCAATACTACATCATATATGAATATCTTATTCCACCAGACAAGCTATGTAAACCTTCCTCAATCTCAAATTCATTACTACTTTCATGAAAAAAATATATATATTATCAGTTTCATATTGCCTTTTCCTTTATATATATTTCTATAACTGTCCTTATCTAGAATGTAAGAGGAACTTTCTCATCACCATGCAGTAAAACCAAAATAATTTCTACGATAATTTTTCTTTATTATTGAATCTTAAGTTTTCTGATGCCCTCTCCAAACAAAACTTCAAGGAATCTGCTAATTGCCTTAAATATTAAGCTAGTCAACGTGCCTAACACTACTGAATTATAATGTGCCGAGATCACAAATGACAAATTGAACTATCAGATCTTAATAGTGGGGAAATATGACTACAGAAGAGTGCAGACACATGCAGTTATGAGAAATCTTATAGTATGCTACTGAAACTAATTAGACTTGCAAGATAAGCAATGTTACTACTCTAATCTATGTGTAAATAGTTTAAAAGTCATAGAATTTTATATTCCCGGTAATGAATAACCAGTGAGAATAAATATGCAAGAGTAAAGAGGCAAGATGGTTCCCCCAGTGATTCAGTCTTCCAAGCCAAAGAAAATGAGCTTAGTAATTGCAATAAATCCTGACTTTCAAAATTATTCAATCCTGATTGGTCGGCATGTACAATATTGTACATCTCTGTGATTATTCTAATCATACAGAGGTCACTCAGGTTTTGATTTATAAATTTATGATTGAGTTCATCACTTAGTTTGAGTGTTTCTTGAAATTTCTGTTTGCTAATACCTAGGATACATATGGATCTGTAAAGATATCCTGACCATTTCAAATTCAATTTGTATGTCCAATAGTACCAACTACCAGTGCTGGTCCCTTTAATATGTTAACACCCAATGTTTTTTGGACCAGTACCACTTGAGGTATTGCTGGTAGGTTTAGTATCTTTTAACAAGCCCCTTTCAAGAGCAAAATATGTGTAAAAAGACATAACTAGGTTAGTTGACATTTCAGGTGTAAGAAATAAAAAATGAGAAACCCTTATTGGATAAACAACTCTGCTATATGTATGTAATGTATTCACCTTTAATCTGCTTTGTTATTATTGCCTATCAACATGTTAACTGTTTCTACTCAATAAAATGAATACATTAACAAGTGTATGTCATTTAGTTTGCATTTTAACTCCTAGATTAAGCTTTCATACAGCCATTCCCTTGATAGCAATAAACTTTGACAGGTCTGATACACTTGGATCTCCAGTTATATACTGCAACAAAATACATATTCAAATTCATATGCTTCTACATGATTTTTATCCTCTGAAAGTTACAAGTTCTGCACCATTTCTTTTAGTTATGCTTATCCTGCTTTTTAATTTCTCATTACCATGTAAAGAAAATTAATTACCTGCTTCCAAACTTGTTTTGTTAAAACATGTATCAATTATCCATACTACTGTTTTGTTGGGTGTGTCTGAATCGTTCCCTCTACCCTCTACAGTAAATACAAGGTTACCTCTTTCTTACTGTTTGAGACAATACCCCCTATGTCCAGCAAGGGATTGAATATTCATATTGCATTATAGAATCAACAATAAATTTCTACTTCCAATCTGGATTTCTTGACCAAGTGAATATGGCACCATTTGGAATCAACTAAAGATTTTGTGCAAGTCTTATACATGACTGCAAATATCTTAATTCCCTCTTTACTAATCCAAAGTGTATGATCATTAAACATTAGTTACCTTCATGAACGGCTTGTGGCATTTCTGATCAGGATTCATTGTGAACTAGGAAGTTAGGTTGAAACGGTTGTGGACATACATATGTTCCTACCCTATGTAGACTTTCCCTTGGTTCATTTTTCAATGAACAACAAATACTGTAATATTCATGATAATGCTTCTTTAAAACACTGGAGAAAAAAAAGGCATTTCCTCTTATTATAATTCCAGGTCATTCAATTGTAACCACTTCTTGCTATGGTTATTGGTTTTCGGCATTTTAACTAAAATGAGCAGTTCTCCCTATTTAATGGTTTATTTGAATATCACTCAGAAGTGGACGTTTGACTATCTTTATTTTTACTACGGACGCGATTGAACCTAGTACTGAAGTCCTTTGGGCGGATAACATTTATCTGCCGACTGGATTGAGAATACATTAACATTAAAACGGGTTAATAATCAACCTTGTGAAATGTTGTGAAATAGTTCAAGCTATTGAACATGTACAGTATTATGTATGCCTTCGTTATATTGGTATCATGTAGTTTTAATTTTTTTGGGGGGGGATTTCCTTATTCTCCATATATTACCACAAACATTTCAAGTCTTTTACTATGCTTCACTACCATTTTGACAATGGAGAAATATGGTTAATGGTTATCATTTAAGCAAGATGTTATATTTAATAGGTTATCTAGTCCAGTTGTATTGACACAAGTTAACTGAAGTTATATTGGGGTTATCTTTCTATATACCCTATAGCTAGCTAAACAATCTAGGTAGGACCTCACTAAATGATTGTTAGCGAGTGAATTTCAGTTCCTGGATCACTTTCTTGTAAAGTCAATAGTATAGGTGACAATAATGATCATTTTTTGGAATAAAAAGCAAAATAGACAACTTTGTTTTCACGTTTGGTTTCAGATTTATATACGCTCTTTTCCACATTACATAGAATTGGATAAATAAACACCAGATTGTGCTATAAATCATATTACAAAAAATATAGAAAGAAATGGAAGAGAAACTTTGTTCTTATTTGATGCCAATGAAATGAGAGGGAATGTACAATGCATGATCAACCAAGGAAAAATTCGCTGGAGATAATAGCTGATCACGATAGAAGTGACTACAAGTTTAGGCATATTCGCCTTCCATTTCACCCTCCTCTTCGAACTCAGCCTCGTCATCGGCGGTGGCTTCCTGGTATTGCTGGTATTCGGACACCAAGTCGTTCATGTTGGACTCAGCCTCAGTGAACTCCATCTCATCCATACCCTCACCAGTGTACCAATGGAGGAAAGCCTTTCGCCTGAACATAGCGGTGAACTGTTCGCTGACGCGCTTGAAGAGCTCCTGGATAGCGGTGGAGTTACCGATGAAGGTGGAGGCCATCTTGATACCTCGGGGTGGGATGTCGCACACGGCGGTCTTGACGTTGTTGGGGATCCATTCAACGAAGAATGAGGAGTTCTTGTTCTGGATGTTGTACATCTGTTCGTCAACCTCCTTCATGGACATGCGGCCACGGAAGATGGCGGCGACTGTCAGGTAACGGCCGTGGCGAGGATCGCAGGCAGCCATCATGTTCTTGGCATCGAACATCTGCTGGGTAAGTTCTGGGACGGTGAGGGCCCTGTATTGTTGAGAACCACGGGCGGTGAGAGGAGCAAAACCAGGCATGAAGAAGTGAAGACGAGGGAAGGGTACCATGTTGACAGCCAACTTCCTGAGATCAGCGTTGAGCTGACCTGGGAATCTGAAGCAGGTGGTGACACCGGACATTGTGAGGGAAACGAGATGGTTAAGATCACCGTAGGTGGGGTTGGCCAACTTCAGCGTTCTGAAGCAGATATCGTATAAAGCTTCGTTATCGATACAATATGTTTCATCGGTGTTTTCTACGAGCTGATGGATGGACAGGGTTGCGTTGTAGGGTTCTACGACGGTATCAGAAACCTGTAAAAGGGAGAGAATTCAAGTTATTAACTTGCACGTCTTAATGCTTCCATCAATGATACCGGTAACTAGATTTAACTTCATTTGTATGGATGACAGTGTATTACCAAGAGAAGGGAATTTTATTCATCACTCCTAATGCTGTACAGAATTAATGATACAAACCTTAGGTGAGGGGACGACTGAGAAAGTGTTCATGATCCTGTCGGGGAATTCCTCGCGGATCTTTGAGACGAGAAGGGTACCCATGCCCGAGCCGGTGCCACCACCAAGAGAATGTGTTAGCTGGAAGCCCTGTAGGCAGTCACACTTTTCTGCTTCCTTGCGAACAACATCGAGGACAGAGTCTACGAGTTCAGCACCTTCTGTGTAATGACCCTTAGCCCAGTTGTTACCAGCACCACTCTGACCTGTTGGTAAAAGGAGTAAAGTATGAAACATCAAAACCTTGACATTAAAAATATCAGTATCATGCCATTTCAACAAATAACTCCAGCAAAACCTAAAGAGAAATGTACTTACCGAACACGAAGCTGTCTGGCTTGAAGAGAGCGCCATGGGGTCCTGACCTGACACTGTCCATGGTACCAGGCTCCAGATCGACAAGGATGGCACGAGGCACATACTTGCCCTGGTTACCCTCATTGTAGTAGACGTTGATGCGCTCCAACTGGAGCTCCATCAAGTCCTTATCAGTACCAGTGTATTCACCAGTGGGCTGGATGCCATGTTCGTCACTGATGATTTCCCAGAACTAGAAAAAGAAAAGAGGAAAGTTACGAAAGACTGACCCGACCATGACCGTCTTAATGTGACCAGTAATTTAAGAAATTACTACAAATATAGCTTATCGACTGTATGAACGTAAATCTAACTAAAAAAGTGTCAGATGTGGGAGCCCGGGGAGGATTGCTATTGTACCTAATTCAAATCCGCCTACTAGCTAAGCCTCCGTCTCCGCATCCCGAAGAACCTTTAACAAAATGGTCCTCATGCTGCGCCTTAGCTTTCCACGTCTTCCCGCCGACCTCCAAGTCACCTACAGGACCCGGCTGCACGACCCACGGCCATCCCGCGCTTTCACCTGTTCCTCGCCCTGTTGCTCGAACCCGGCAACCGCGCTTATCTCCTTCACGAGGCCCTCCCACGCCGCCAGCCGCTTATCGAAGTAGGTGTAACTTATTTATCAGCAAGCCTTTTTTTTAGATGCAGAGAAAAGGCAGAGGCAAGGCGAGGGCTGGAGTGGCGGCGGCGGCTGCATGGTGGCGGCGGGCGTGGCGGCGGCATAACGGTCGGCGCGAGACAATGGCGAGGGCGGGAGGGGCCGCGACCGCCGCCTCCCGATCGATACCTAAGCCTTCTAATTCTTCCTGATGTTGCAGATCGAGGGTTTAATTCATAATTTAACACGAGAGATTTAGTCCATTGTTCGCTTTGACGATGCACTTCTCTTTCCGACACTTTCTAGATTTGAAAATTTGCAAACAAATGATTTTAACGTTTTTCTTCTGCCATTTTTCCCCACACTCGATATAAACTACAATCTACTTTAAATTACGTTAATGGAATAGCAAGTCGATCTAACATTTAGCCGCAATCACATGACACACGAGATATCCGGCAAGACTTGGTAGCCATTGCAGTCACCGGCGTCGTGTCATCAACCGGCAGTTTTCCCGGGAAATTTTCCAAACTCCTTTCAAAACTCGTCCACTATCGACTCCACAAGACACAATACACTTCATATCTTACCTTTGTACCAATCTGGTTGCCGCACTGGCCGGTCTGTATGTGAACAATTTCCCTCATGATGGCGTGTGACTGCTCGCTGGTCCTTCACAGCAGCTTCTGACTGCGGCTCCGGCGGCGGCTCGCGGCGAAGGCGGCGGTGCGGCTGCCGGGGGTCGCAAGAGAACCCAACTCGCGCCTTTTCACCGTCAATTATTGATTCTCCTCTGCTCTTAATATTTCTGCAATAGAATTCGAGAGGCTCTTATATTCAAGATTAAGATTATTAAGGTAGCTCCCGTTTTTTCTCTTGCTGAGACGTTTTACTGTATAATTTGGGGTTTTACTTGACACCTGGAGTTGCCGGGAATATTTGAACCGCGGCTCGCCAGCCTGAGGGGCCCTACTCGGGGTGTCCTCTCACAGGCGTGCGGAATTTTAGATAGATCATTTATTACGGCTAACGTTCACCTTACTTATTTCATTAACTAGTATCATACGATATTTTCTAAACTGAAGTTTGCATGTTTATTTTCTGGAGTAGCATAGCGAGCAAATAATGGGTATAATTGTCAAGATTGTTCACAGGGGCTTACACTCACTCGAATGTAGAACAGCCTTGACTTTCCCTGCGAGTAACACAAGATTTAAAGGCTGGTTCGCCTGTACATATATGGATATGACCAAAACCTTGTTAGGAAAAGCAATACGGAGAGCAAAAGGTAGCCTATATTACAAGGGACAGGAAGGAATCGAAAGACGAGTGAACAGCACTCTAAACAACAGATAAACAACAATCAAATGCAGAAAATACATTTTTTGCCATCTAACAGCTGTCAGCCACATAACAACAGAAAAAAACTAAATGAATAAAATGTAATGATTGTAATAGCGTTTCCTACATAAGATTACCCAATCCTCTATTTTTGAATATGACCAAAGTAACGAACATTCCTTCCAGTTAACCAAACACTGATAAAGTAATTGCAAAGTGAAATATAGGTTATTTAAGCAATCGTAATATATTGTGGTGGTCATCGTATTCATATAGTGTGAGATATTGATATAGAACAATACTCTGATCTAATTCATTGTTTTGATAATGTACAAAATTACAATTTCACTGAAATACTTGGCATCTGCCTTTCATGTGTTGTAACGGACTTTATTTCTATGCGACGCCCTATTATGTGTTCTAGAATGATCGGAGACGCTTTATTCAACTAATATAGACATACTGACTTCTTTCTCTCTATAGAAAGTAAAATAATACAAGACATAAAATGTGGAAGTTTAAATGCGGTTCTGGTGAGTTGATTTTCACCGTAAAGAGTTAGGCAAAGGTCAGACATCCGCAGCTTCACTTCTTTTTACCAACATGTTACCGGCATTTTTTCTCCGCTAATAATTGGGTGTTTACGATTAAATGCGCGTGGTATATGCATGGAGGTTCTTATAACGCAAAGACATATCCATGACTATGTAATAAAACCATTTACTACGAAAGAAATGAAGAGGCTTCATTTCTTACAGTAAGAGAAGTTGGTAACACTGGTCTTGCCGCAGCCCGTGTCTGAATCACCTGCTCCTGTTTTCCCGATTTCTGTCTTTTATCATATCATTTCAAGCTTGTGATCATTCACTGTTGCTTCGTTACATACCATGCACTTGTGGGGTATAAGAAAATGGTAGATAATGAACGTGTGTGTTTAGAAAAAAATAATGTTTATACAGGGACGGCAACGCAAGAAGTGTGCTTGAGTTGCAACCTATTGATTAAATTGCAGGGACATCGTCAGTGATTCACTACTTTGAATAACTACTACTGTTAATGGACAATAAGTTTCATATGAATAGATTCAGTGTTTTACATGAACTAGGAAGGGGAAATTAAAACCCTCCCTCAAATGAGAAGCTTAGCCCGATAACGACTGTAGCTTCACAAACAAGGATGTTGAGTGATGGCTAAAAAGTAGCTTGAATTCGGAAATGCATGCACTGAGAATTTTACTGACAGTCCTAGGATATGCATCTGCAGCGTACTTCTAAACACTGAACTTCACAAATAAATTCATATATAACACTATCAACTCTAAACAGGCACATATTTGCATGAGAAATTATTCTTAATATTCAATAGCATGAAAGGATTCTTTCAAAGAAAATTATTAAACAGCTGTGACATAATACAGAGATCCTTGCATGACTCATGCGTTATGGACCTGGAAGGGGAACCATAAAAGTGGGTGTTTGGCGTGACACCTCTGGATGCAGCTGGATGCGGTACAAGGACGATTCACACAAGCGACCATGGGGTTATTTATGTTGATTGTTAATCATTGCAACACTTAGAAGTTTTAGAAACAGTCGTAGTAAGATGTGAAGCGTATTAAATGTGGCAAGTGTTGGAGCGGGTGTGGGGGAAAGTCTGCTGATGTGAGACCCGCCCCTTTCACTCGCCAAGAGTACACACAATTTTTCACTATTTAAATGTACCGGGCATAGTTCTCGTAGGTTTATACATGCAAAGGATAAACTCTCTGTCACTTACGACTATTTACACGTTATTATGATTTATATATGAGAGAACTAAGAACAAAAATAGGAAATTGTAAGTTAGAGTATATGAGGATCTTAGAACAGGGAATCAAAGTCTGCCAGCGCCACAGTTTCCTCCTGTTCTAGAATACCTTGCATTAAATAGTCATGAGGTAGCCGATGAGGCATGACTCGCCCAGCCTGTTCGATAATGGTCTTAGGCATTTCTGGAAATATTCTCTGATCTATAATACTCACTTTTACTATTAATCAGGAGTTTGTTGGTCTATGGTAAAGTATACTCTGGGTAGTAACAGTTGTAATCTGTATGCTACTAGCATAAGGGTGGGCTGCCAAATCCTGTTTGCGAGCCTGCATGTTTGACAAAAAGATTCTGTGACAGTAGCGAGCCGGCTTCCAGAGACAAATGTCATATACCATGTGTGTTAAACATTTGCCTAAGCTAATAACGATACGTTATCCACGTCGGTTCAGTATGACATAGATAAATATCCAATTGTTAATCCATTTGTTAGATAACATTCCGGGTGCGTATTATCCATCTCTAGCGGGAAAATGTACTTGTCAACTACGTGACCATCTATAAATGTATTGTACCTCATTACTTTCGGCACTGCAATTGCCCAAAATATTAACCGAAGTGCATAAACGCTTAACATGACTTAAGATGTTATGAACAAGAGTTTATGTTAAGCAAAATAGCAAAATTATAGTAATATTTAAATGTAACATGAAAATGTTTCGGCTGTGGATCATCTCGCTGCATGAGGAAAAGAAGTCATTCTTTCAACTCGCAGACAAGGCTAGGACTCATTAGGAGTCAGTGTATCTGTGAGTGAGTGTAGGTCGATGTGGGGAGACGGTGCCGGGAAGTCTGCACGTCATTCAGGGCTGGCTTACTCAGCCCCGCCTAAACTGGGAAGTACTTGGGCCAAAATGCTGGTGCTGGATGACGTCAACTCTGAAGTGATTTCTTTTTCAAAGTTTTCTTTTCTTATTTTAATCTTCCGGAAGGTGTATATTACGGTCGCTTCCTAAATCGATGAATAGCTTATATAAAATATCCAGAATCAGCTGACAGACGGAGGGAGGGGCGGTGGGAGAGCTCACCACACGCCTCAAGCACCGTTACCTGCCGAAGTCACTATACTCGGCGCCATCTTAGCCTATCTGATGTCAGGTGTGGTGCCGACAATTCTAATCCAATCGTTCTTAATGGCTAAAGCTTTTAAGTTATGTGCGAGACAAAGTTTGGCATTTCCGCTTAAACTGCATGAAGGTCATCCCATCTACCATGTGCCAGTGATCGATCTAAGATCTAAATATATATATACGTAAACACCGTAATACCCGATTTCTGAGCTAGGTTCAATTAAGATCAATACACAACATTTTTACTCCTGGTCGGTGAATTGTTTAGTCTAAAGGAAACGTGAATTGGCAGGCTGCAGTTGGGAAGACGCAAGGTTAGAGGTTAGCCTGAGCATAATTAACAATAGGAAAGTGATGATAGTTGATTTTGTGATTATACATATAGATAATAAAACGTTCATATCAGCAACAAAGTATAAACGAGATTTGTGATGTTTAATGAGTATATTGCATCTAATGGGCAATATATTTTTTTATATACATAATTTTGTTATCCAATTACTCACTAAAAGAAATCCGACTGCTGCCTGCCAGACGCACAGAAAACGTAAGGGACAGGCGAACGTCCGTGATAATACTGCAGTAAAGCCTACGCTCGCGTGCAGAGAATATTTAAGAAAACATAATCCCAAAATATGTTCCGTCTCTGCGTCTCTCTCTCTCTCTCTCTCTCTCTCTCTCTCTCTCTCTCTCTCTCTCTCTCTCTCTCTCTCTCTCTCTCTCTCTCTCTCTCTCTCTCTCTCTCTCTCTCTCTCTCTCTCTAACATGTAAGTGTATGTATGTATATGTATATATGTGTGTGTTTGTGTGTATGTGTGTGTGTGTGTGTCTATATGAATATACACACATAAATGCAAAAATAAATACATACACATATATATAGCATACACACGCACACACACACACACACACACACACACACACACACACACACACACACACACACACACACACATATACATATATACATATACATATATGCATACATATATGTATATGTATATATTCATACACACTCATGCACACGCACACACATACACACACAAACACATATGTATATACATTTATATAAATCTCTCTCTCTCTCTCTCTCTCTCTCTCTCTTTATATATATATATATATATATATATATATATATATATATATATATATATATAATGTATATATATAAATGTGTGTGTGTGTGTGTGTGTGTTTGTATCTGTGTATGTGTATATATATGTATGTCTGTATATGTATATATATTATATATATACACTCTCATTCACATTCATTCACTCACTCATACACACACACATCCTCTTTCTTTCCTTCCGCCAATCGTTACAACACCCATATTTACACCTACAAATTATATCCAGATTGGATTTCATAATCTATAATAATGTGCCGCGGTATTTATAGACCATCCTCACGTGCTCGTGTCATTAACCCTGTTTAAAGGGAAGTCCACAGCCAATTGGCTAA